AAAAGGCATCTCACTGAATCTTAAGTGTCGTGTTTACCAGGCTACAGTAACGGCAGTGTTATTGTATGGGTGCGAGACATGATGAGGCGTCTTCAGGTTTTCGACCACCGATGCCTCAGAAGCGTGGCTGGCTGTGGATGGCGTCAGCGTGTCAGTAACGAGGCGATTAGAAAACGGGTATTTGGTTGTGCTGCAGGCACCTCAATCCGGGAAAACATCCAGCATCATCGACTGCGATGGCTCGGTCATGTGTTACGCGTGGCGAAACACCGTCTATCGAGACGAGTGTTGTTCTCCGTGCCTCCTTCCAGTTTCTTTCCAGATTGTCTGATTGAGCGGTTGGAGGTTTAGGCACCTCAGAATGCTTGACATAGGCCAGCACTAGGTCCCCTCCCTCACCCACTCTTTATCTCTTCTCTTCATTGCAGGGCTTTTAATACAATTATATATATATATATATAACTAGACGAAACTTATGGTTGTACGGCAGTGAAGCATCAGTGCCAACACTGATGTTGCTGTCTTTGATGATGATGATGATGATCACCTTCACTTGGCGTCTGATAATTCGACACATCAAGTTATGTTCCGGGCCGGCTGGGATATTTCTCCGAGATTTAAGCATTGCCACTCTTCAGTCCGGTATCCAGTGCACGAGTTCGCCTGGTGATTCCATGCCATAGGCAAAATACCCATTACTATGCAAAGAGGTGGCAATCTTGTCCCAGTATGAGTTCACATCTGATGGTGGAGCCTTTGGAAGAAACTCTAGATGATTCTGGTAAATTCGCCTAACATCCGGATCTGCCAGTCTCTCAGTTGCCAAGCGATATGTCGGCACCTTACGTGGCCCAGGAAAATGGAGGAAGAAGCGACAAGTGGTGGTCGGAATCCACAAATGTATCCCAAAACGACCGGCAGTCAGTTACCGATTTGCGCCATCGGTAGCTAATGGCAACGTGATCGATTTGAGTTTGTGACCGTTCTGCCGTTGGAGGACACCAAGTGGCCAGACGACTTCGGCTATTTCGGAAGTTAGTACTGCATAAAAGCAGTCTGTGATCAGCACACAGCGGAAGCAATCGTTCACTATTGACCATACGTACCGAGTCCAATCCATGTCGACGTCCTAACTGAGTCTCAAATACCCCAAGCCTGCCCACCTGTGCATTCATATCTCCGGCACCCACCATGATATCTGAGTTTTAAGCTCGCCGCAGCAGGACATTCAGGGCGTCGTAAAACCTGTCTTTGACGGCGTCGGAGCTACAGTCAGTTGGGGCGTAAGCGGACACGACAAACAGAGGGCGATCAGTTTCCCACTTGTGAGACTCCTTCACAGACGTTGCTAGACGAATCGCACAGGGACGACTATCAACAGGTATCCAGCGAAGCAAGGATACTTCCATCCAGCACACCCCGCCGCAGCAGCCTCTGGGTCACCAGAGATGTGCAGCCGGAAGCGAGTAGAGACTGATGGAGCGGTTAGCTCAGTCACTACTTGGATCTTGAATTCTCGTTTCCGAGTCACAGCACACAATGCCAAGCGGGTCCAGTGTGAGAGCAACAGCTGCTTGTCCTGCTTACTTCAAAGTACGGACATTGAAGGCGGCCATACAGACTGAGTTTCGAGGCTGGAAGATTGATTTGGAGATACCTGATGATGTCGGCGCCCTGTGACGAGTAGATTCCCGCAAAACCGATGCGTTGCGGACAGAGTCATCAGTCCTAAGTGCTGAACCTACAAGGAGAGAGTTATAATTGGAGTGGGGAGGGGGGGGGGAAGAAAAAGTATGTAAAAAGGAAGGAAGGGGGCATCAGAAATAGCCTGCTGTATGCAGCCAGTAAGGCGACCCGGCGGTGGCTGATGTGGCACGAAAGTATTGTTAGTTGTAAGTGTCATTGTTGTACGTGGGCTGGGATACTGTCAGGTTGCCCAAACCTAGACAGGAGCACGATTAGGGTTCTCGGCCAAACGCTTTGGCTTAAAAGCTCAATCACAAGGCAGCGGTGTTTGACGGGAAATGCAAATACGGAACAAGTCACCACATGTTCCAACCCTCAAACTGGAGCGCCAGGAGACTGTGTTTGTCAGACCTCTAACCATTGACCAACCTGGTATGAGAGACTCTGTGAGTGTCGCAATGACACCCCCAGTACAGCTCAATGGGTCGCTGAGATGCGCAAACCGTCATACTACGGTAAGTCGTGATGATGATGCTTCGGGCTGAGTTGTGGTTGTGCCCAGGAGGAATTTATCGCCGGGCCTCCAGCAAAGACAAGACGCTACCACGAATCCAGTGTTTGAATGAGGTCGGCTGGGTTGTGTAACAAACGGAATTCCTGGATTTGAATAGCACTTTGGAGATCTCTTCTCTTAGTTCCTTTGTATCTCTTTGACACGTCAAGCTAGATCTTAGGCTTATGGATTGCTTTGCATAAGTTGTGGTTGTACTGTGTCAAGAAGTCAGCACACGTTTTTTTTCCGGCACTTCCTTTGTGACGTCAAAATGAGTTTCACTAAGGGTCGTCATATACGAATGCTGGATGAACAGCCCTCCCCCGATCTAGCTCCCCAAACGCCTCTAAACATGTGATCGTCGGTGCCCTTGTGGTACGTGCTGGCTGCCCCACGTACGCAGAGAATTTGTGCATAAGTGATCACTCGTCAACCGATGAGGCTCGTTCTCTCAGCTATTGAAGCGAGATGAATGCTCTTCTTCGTTCCTAACCCTTGTTGGTAAGAGTCCGTTTAAGACAGGTCATAACATGGCCACGTAAAACGAAAACAGATACAGTCAAAATGCACGCTGTCGTGTGTTTGATACTCATGATTCTCCCTGCATGTTGTTGGAAACCCCGCAGTATGCATTCGCGATCCCAATGTTGAACATGCTGTTGCTGAATTTTGTCGGTCATCGTACTTTGGGTTTGTATTGAAAAAGGTACATGAGACTATGCTGCACTAATTACTCGCCCGTTCTTCTCGACTTTTGCTGCAGTAAATTTTGCTAGGGCATTACTTATAAGCCGGTTAAGAGTCGGAGTTTATTGCCGACGTTTTTTGACGAGGATGATGATAAGTTCGGAAATGTGAATAAATCATAACATCGATTCCCAACTGCGGTTTTGCCATTATCGCTGCCGCCAATATTGATGTAGTCCTGATGCTACACCTTGTGCGTCCATTCTCTCAAGTTACTTACTAACTTATGTTCCACATTTGTGTTGCAGCTTATCTGAATCTACCCGTATAGGAACTCAGTGATCAAATGGGAGGGGTGACCAAGCGATTCACAGTACGCCACCTGCCACTTAACTCTGTACATGTGCTACTACAGGTAACTGTTGAGGGCAATATCGGCTGTGGGAAGTCTACTTTCTTACGCTATTTCGATCAACTTTCTGAGAATACCGAGGTCCTTCAAGAGCCACTATATCTATGGAAGGATGCAAGGGGACATAATCTATTTGTATCGCTGCCTTCTCACCAGCTAATCTTTCTCCCTAGGAGTTAATGTATAAAGACTCAACTCGCTGGGCAATACCATTCCAGGCGCAGGTTCTAGTCACGCTCCTGGATCGTCAGCTAAGGCCTCAGGTAGGTTGATACTCAACAGTAATTTGTTTGAGGTTGTTGACCAGTTCGCATAGTGTAGCTTTCAATTTCTATCCCATTCTATCACTAATGGAAACGGAGGATGATTCTCGTTTCAGAAGAGATTGGTAAACAGTCGGTAGTTTTTACTTGGGCAACATTTCGCTTTTGACACAAAAGCTTCACCAGGCCAAGTGAACAGGTCACCAAATCGGCCAGGTTATAAGACAGACGGGGAACAAACGAGTAAGTCCTCTTCAGGTTATCACACTAGATCAGTGTTGAGTGTCAATGAACGGCGCTTGTCGGCTAGTGTGGGTGCCAAGATCTTGAATTGATGGATTGGAGGAGTTTCAGATTAGTTCCCATCGCTTTTTGTTCCTTAATCTTCCACTTCAGGGTGGTTCAATTGGTGATTCATCTCGGATGCCACTGGTAGATTTCCTTTGGTCTTCGTGGCCATGTGAATGTTGTGACAATTCAGTTGGGGGGATGGGAGGTGGGTAAGGTTAAGTGGAACTCAGATGATGACTACTCTTCCCTCTGATAATCGCACACCAACACATGTTAGCTCGAGTGACCCAACACCGTTCTCCACACGCTTGCCAGTCCCACGCCATCTATTCTGTTTACACTGGGATGCTTGGCGATTTCTACCGCCTGGGATATCAGTCTCTGTGACGTGGACCGTAGTCCTCGTCTCAAAACCTCAACATTTTCTAAGTCTATTATGCGTCCTGTGTCTAGTGCGTGTTGCGCAATTGCCGAGTCTTTCAGTAACGCTTGGTATTCATCTGCGTTTCTCGGCGGCCTGATTATTATTTCTACTATGCCCTCCGATTTTGATGTGTAGTTCCCTGGCCGTCTGCCTATATAGACCTTGATGCAGTCGTTACACTTAATTTTGTACACACAGTCCCTGGTTTTGTTTGCCGGGAGGCGATCTTCCAGTTGCACCAGTGCTTAACGCAGAGTGTTCCCCTCTGGAAGGCTACTCTTCGAATGACCGACGTTCCTGGTTTATATGGAATAACAGCGGTCCCGATCCACTCCCTGTTGGGTTTCGCTACCGGTACCAACACCCTTCGCAATTGACGCCCAATCAAGCTAGCTGGATATCCACTACTCCAAAGTTTGTTCTTTACTTCAATTTGGGCCGCTGTCCGATCAGCTTCTTCTCTGCACAGGACCCTTACACGTCTAAACATTGATAAGGCAATACTGGTGAATACCGACTTCGGATGGACAGACAGGTAGTTCAGTGTCGGTTGGCTTCTCGTACACTATGGTCTTTAGTTTCCTCCCGACCTTATGTGTCTGCAGTCTAAAAAGGCCAGTGTACCCGAGGTTGACTCCTTCTCCACACTGAATTTGATCATTCAGATAGTTGTAAAACCCACCAACCTTGTTTCGTTTCATCACGACGAAAGTGTCATCTACATACCGCCAGAATATCTTGAGTGGGTATGGGAATCCGGCTAAAGCACTCCTCAAATTCTTCCATGAATATATTTGCAAAAACCGGGGATATTGGAGATCCCATTGCTAGCTTTTGTTCTTGAGTGTGAACCACGGTGTCGAAAACGAAGTGGGTGAGATTCAGGCATGCTTTTATGCCTTCCACTGTTTCATCTGCCGTAAGCTGTGTCCGGTCTGAAAGGGTGGTGTCTGCCAGTAGCAGTCACTCAGCTACTTCTAAAGAGTCCCCTTTGGGCACATTTGTATATAATGAATTGACGTCGAAACCTATCAGGATGCTATCTGGTTCAACGGTGACCCCCGCTACTTCGTTGGCAAAGTCGTACGAATTCTTAATCACTCTTGTTCGTTCATCATCATCAACGACACCATGACATCAGTGCTCAACACCAATGCTTCACTGCCGCACAACCATGACTTATTTGAAAGCCTTATTGTAAAGAAAAGAATAAAGGTGGATGGGGGAGGGACTTAGTGCTAGCTTAACACAATCATT